CAAGCCCAGATCCCTGGTGCCAGCCCCTGGGGAGTAACATTAGTAAACAGGACTCGCTACTGTATCATATGTGTGGACAGGAAGGCTGTCTAAGGGACTAAAGGGCCAGGTACTGGTACATTGTTTAAAAAAATATATACCCTTCCATTAAAAGGGTCATTTCAAACACAGAATATGGGTCTGGGCCATCTAGCTCAAAGGACTCAGCACCAACCCTGAACACCGCCAGAATGACCCCAGACCTTAAATTAAAAAAATTTTTCCCAGGCCTGGAACGACAGCATAGCAGGTAGGGTGTTTGCCTTGCACGCGGCTGACCCGGGTTCGATTCCCAGCATCCCATATGGTCCCCCAAGCATTGCCAGGAGTAATTCCTGAGTGCAGAGCCAGGAGTAACCCTTGTGCATGGCCAGGTGTGACCCAAAAAGGGGGGAAAAATCCCAATAAATAAATAAACACATAAATAAATACATAAAGGGGGCTGTGTGATAGAACAGCAGGAAGGCGCGTGCTTATGCACATGGCCGGCCCAGGTTTGATCCCCAGCATTCCATACGGACACAAAAGCACCACCAGGAATGACCCCTGAATGCAGAACCAGGAGTAAGCCCTGAGCTCTGCCAAGTGTTGCCCCCAAAACAAAATAAAATGGAGACAGACAGAGAGAGAGAGAGAGACAGAGACACAGACAGACAGATTAAACAGGGTGGGAAGTAATCCTTGCCCTGCAGGTGTCAGGCTGAGTTCGCCCCTGGCACTCTAAGGATCCAAGCCCTGCCAGAAGTGATCCCTAAGCAGAGCCAGGAGTAAGCCCCAAGCACCGTGGGGTGTGGCCCTCAAACCAAAAGCAAACAGAAATCACAACACAGGGAAGGGGGAAGGTGCTGCCTTGTACCAGGCTGACCCTGGTCCATCCTGGGCACCACGGGGGTGTCCCCATTCCCCCAAGAGAGCACCAAGATTCATGACAGCAGGTAAGCTACTGCCAACATACACAATCACAGCCCTTCTCTTGAGTGACGCAAGGGCACAGGTCTAACCAGGGACACAAATGATGAAATCCGTCCCTGCCCAGGAGGCAGGCCCAGGCATCTGCCCAACTCTGCTTCCTTGGTCCAGCAGGGTGGACACTGGAAGCTGGAGTCTGAAGAGACACCGGCCTGCTAGCCTCCTTCCTGCATGCTGCCTCTCGAAGACTTTGTACAGGTCCAAGGTCTTTCCAGAATACACAAGTTTACTTCATGTAGAAACATGACACTTCAAAAATTCAGTTTTTTAGGGGTCCGAGTGCTAGTACAGTGGAGAGGGCATTTGCCTTACAAGCAGCAGACCCAAAACGCCAAAAACAAATAAATTATCATACTGCTCTTACCTGGCTTTAAAACAAAAATAAAACCACAAGTAATTTACTTCCGATTACTCAGCAGAGCTTCTCCTACTAGCCCTAAGGGAACTACTTTAAGACATACAAGCACCTCAGTACTTGCAGTAACCCTATAAAAAAAAAAGGGGGTTTCTGTCTTTTAACTGGGAGGAGGATGGCTTCCAAGCAGTTCCTAGGGGCGACTACCAGGCTGGTGGGCTCAATGAAGGGTCCGTGCACAGCCACAGTCACCCCCAGGGCCATACACAGAGGTTCTGGAAGCAGGGAATCAGGGGCCTGCACGCTGTGGTCCAAATGCTGGGTGCTGGATTCTAGGGCGCCCCCTTGTCCTGACGTGAGCTCTCTCCCCTGCCAGTTCCGTCTCCAACGTGAGAAAAGGTAGGAGATTTGCTCCAAACCATGGCAGAATCGGTCTGAGCACTGTGATGCTGGATTTCAAAGCCCCCAGAGCACTCGGGCAAGCTGAGATCCGCGGTAGCAAGTCAGGCGCATGGGCTGCCACAGAAGTAAACAGGATTCCAGAACCAGCCTGTTAGGACCTTCCCAGGCCATGGCATTACTGCCTCTCTGTCTCCTTCCCCGTCTAAGGTTTAAAGAAAGTGTAAGAATTTGGCAGAGATGCCAAGCTTTCGGGTAGAATACAGAACATCTGAATATGCAGTTTCTACCAGGCACTATGAAACCACATCCCTGCTTCTAACCTACCTGCGGCCCGCCGGTGGGGGGGAAGCACTCCAGCTGGAGAGGTAATCAGGACCCGCTCGGGCCTTGCACGCAGGAACCCCAGGTCCCAGCCTCGGCACTGCATGGTATGCCCCCTCCCCCTCCAAGGAAATCTAAGAACTGTATCACTCCTCATTTTATTGCCAATGGCAACGGAGAAACCGAGCCTCCAAGATAACTGAGGAATCTGCCAGGCAAGCACATTCAAAATCTGAGCTGGGGGATTCTGTTCCGACTAGTTTGGGGGGCAACAATGGGAACTGGTCCTCAGTTGGTAAAGCCAGCCCACTGCCACCACTCCAAGGCAACTTCACCAGTGATCACAAATCACACGCACGAGGATCCCGTTTCATTATTAAAACCAAGATCTCAGGGGCCAGAGAGCATAGCCGGACGGTGCCTTGCACGCAGCACACCCGGGCTCAATCCCTGGTACCCATGGGTTCTACTGAGCACTGCCAGGAGTGATTCCTGAAGGCAGAGCCAGGAGTAACCCCGAGGATCACCGGGTTGACCCACAACCCCATACCCCAAGTTTTCAGCTGACTATAAAATGTCACTTGCTGTTCCTTTCACCTGTAATCACCAGGGTTTTGAGTCGTCACAGTTCAGTGAATAAAGGAGGTGAGAAGCCGAGGGGAGGTGTCAGGACAGTCCCCAACATCCGACCAACACAGGGAATCCCATGTGGCTGGGTGTGGTCCACAAACAAAAACAAATTTAAGAGAGAGAGAGAGAAAACAACCCATTGACTTTCCATAGGCAGACTCTTCAGAGGCATTTACTAATGTGATCGTAATTCAAGTCCACCTGAATTTAGTAACCAGTGAATGGCTGATCGCTTGGGAAAATGTGAGGTAATTCAGGCAAAGTTATCTGCTCTAACGCAGGCAAGCCCAGCAGGTCTCAGGAGAGACCAGCTTGGTCGCCCAGGAGGGCCTCCTGAGGGCAAGACCAGACAGGGCTCCCCCAATACACAAATCCCACCCCACCCCCCGGATTTTCCCAACTACCTTGAAGGAACTGGAGGCCGGAACTTCCCCTGTACCTTTCTTTACAGCAAGCTCTCAATAGGAAATTCCCAGAAGGTCAGGGGGTGGGAGAGACTGAACTACAGAGCAGGGCCTCAGGAGGGGCGCGCGTCTTCCTGCAAACTTGTTTTCGGAGTCGGTCTGGGCAAACCACGGCATTTGGAATGAACGGCACCAAGAACTGGTGATTCACTCCAAGTCTCAATGCGCCCAGCCACCAGCAGGGCCGGAAAATTTGTTAGAAACAGTATTAGGGGGTGGGGAGTGGGGGAGAAGCACACCCCAGGTTCTGGGGCCGGAGCAATAGACACGGGTGGGATTCCCGATCCCGGTGCCCGCCAGGACCGATCCCTGAGCGCAGAGCCAGGAATGAGCCCTGAGCACTGCCGGGTGTGGCCCAGAACCCAAAAATACCCAAACAAACAAACAAAAAAACCCCCCTCAGGTCGGGAAAGGAGAGCCCAGCACACCGCATGGTCTCCCTTCCACCCACCCAAGCATCATCGGGCACCAAGGGTTTAAAAAAAAAAAAGAAAAAAGGCGCCCTCCACCCTCCCCTCGGCATTTATAGACTTCAGTGCGCCATTCAAGCACAAAATTGAGGCATAAAACCTACCCCAAAGGCAGGAGCATCGCGCCCCACATCCATCCCTTTGTTTTTTTACTAGCAAATAAAATATATATATATATATATTTTTAAACCACCCGTTGGCTCCACCCCTCCCCACTTCCGCGTTCAGGAGTCGGCGAGGATGGGGGGTCCCGCCTGCACCCCAGCGGGCCTTTGTTCCAGCCACGGGGCGGGTAAGGCCCCTTCTCCATCCCTGGGGCTTCCGGGCCCAGACTCCCCCCCCCCCGCCCCACCCCGCGGCGCCCACCCCGGGGTGCCATTGTGCGGGTGCGCGCTCGGGGCCCCCCAACCCTCCCCCGGAAGCGCACACAAAAGGCCACGCGTGCCCTTGACAAACAGCCGCGAGGCTCGGGCGCCAGCCCCGGGACGCCGGCGAGGTCATCGCGCTCGGGGAAGGCCACGCGGGGCGGGAGGGGACGGGACGGCGACGACGACGACGGGCGGGAAGGCGGCGCCCCGAGGGTCCGGGAGGACCCCCGAGTCACAGCCAGGTGGCCGAGCGCGGGGAGGGCGCGCGCGCGCACGGCGCACCTGTCAGCGCGGCGCGGCGCCCCGACAAAGGAGGGAAAACCCGGGAAAAAGGCCGGGGCGGGTCGCCCACCCCCAACCCCACCCCGCCGCGCCGCGCCGCGCCGCGCCGCGCCGCGCCGCGCCGCGCCCCTCCTCCCGCGTGGATCGGGCCATTCCCGGGCTCCCGCCGCCGAGCCGCGGCCTCGGGTCTGGGGTCTGGGTCTGGGGTTCCGAGTCTGGGCCTGGGGTCTGGGCCTGGGGTTTGGGGTCTGGGGTCGGGGTCTCAGATTCTGAGTCTGGGCCTCGGGTCTGGGGTCTGGGGTCTGAGGTCGGGGCCTCGGGTTTCGGGTCTGGGTCACGGGTCCGGGTCCCGGATCGCAGTCTGGGTTCGGGCTCGGGTTTCGGGTCTGGCTCTGGGTCCCGGGTCCCGGGTGTGGGATCTGAGTCTGGGCCTCGGGTCTGGGGTCGGGGTCTCGGATCTGGGCCTCGGGTCCGGGTCCGGGTCTGGGATCCGCGGTCGGGGCCCAGGGTCGGGGTCCGGCCTGGGCGCGGGCCCGTAACCGCCGCCCCCCCACCCCCCCCAGCCCGGCGCGCCCTGGCCAGGCCGCGGCGCTCGGGCCGGGGGGCGGCGGCGGCGGCGGGGGCGGCGGCGTCCCTCCCCCGCCCTCGGCGGCCCCCCGCGCCCGCGCCCGCCCGCGCCGGCCCGCGCCCGCCGCCTCACCCCCTGCCGCCGCCGAAGCTGCTGTAGGCCCGGTCGTCGTAGGTATCGAAGTCCGCCATTTGCCGTGTCCGCTCCGAGAGGAAGCAGGGCGAGCGAGGAAGGACCCCGCGGTCTAGCGCCCCGCCCGCCGCGGGGCTGCCCGCCGCGCCGCCTGATCGCAGCCGCACGCACGCACGCCGGCGCGTGCGCGCGCCCGGCCTGGCCGCCGGGGCAGCTGCGGCGGCGCGCGCGGCCACGTGGTGCGGGCGCGGGGCGCGCGGGCCGCGCGGCCGCCCATTGTGTGCTGGCCCCGCCGCGCCCCGCCCGCCCGCCCCGCCCCGGCCCGGCCCGGCCCGCTCGGGTTGGGGGCTTTGGGGCCGGGGCTGCGAGGGAACCGGGGTGGGTGTCGGGCCGGGGGCGGCTCCAGCTCAGCCTGCCGCAGCCTCAGACTTTTTTTTTTTCTTGCTTGCTTTTGGGTCCCACCCGGCGATGCTCAGGGGTTCCTTCTGGCTCATGCACTCAGGAATTACCGACAATGCGATGCACGGGGACTAGTCTACTCTTGGCTCTGCACTCAGGAATCACTCCTGGCGGTGCTCGGGGAACCCTATGGGATGCTGGGAATCGAACTCTGGTCGGCCACGTGCAAGGCGAATGTCCTCCCCCCACTCCCCCCATGCTATCGCTCCAGCCCCCCCTTTTTTTTTCTTTTTTAGGGTCACACCCGGCAGTGTGATGCACAGGGGCTATTATTCCTGGCTCTGCACTCAGGAATCACTCCTGGCGGCGCTCGGGGGACTATGGGATGCTGGGAATCAAACCCCGGTGGCCCACGTGCAAGGTGAACGCCCTCCCCGCTGTGCTATCGCTCCAACCCCTTAGACATTTTTGGAAAAAAAAAAAAAAAGCTTTTGAGTTTCTTCACGCTCTTGGGAGGTTAGGCGGGAGAAGCATCCCGCCCTGGCGCGAATTCTTCGCGTGGGTCTGGAATGAGATTGCGCACGCCGGGCGCCCCAGGGCGCAGTGCAGGGCTCGAGGGGACTAGATGGAACCGTCCTGGGAGCGAGCGGGGCACCACGTGGCCCACCGAGGCCCTCCAAGACCCATCCCCGTGCAGACCCAAGAGTAAACCCCATCATGGGAAGGGGGGCGTTCTGGTCCGTCCTTCACGCCCTACCGAGGTCACCAGTTGCCCCCCACGAGCGGCTCTCCAGCATGGCCACAGCCCCAGAAGCACAAGGGCTTAATGCAGAACCCAGCAGCTTGGAGCAGAAAAGTGAAAGGACTATGCGTTAATCCAGGCAATCATTTCTGCCCAGAGGGGAAAGGGTGTTGCTCCCTTCCGCCCTCCTCCCTCTGGAAAGAAAGATGGCAGCCACATGGGGGCCTTGTGGACAGCAGGTATGAGCCGGGGGTGTGGGGGCGACTAAAACCTCATGGGAAGGGGGGCGTTCTGGTCCGTCCTTCACGCCCTACCGAGGTCACCAGTTGCCCCCCACGAGCGGCTCTCCAGCACAGCCACGGCCCCAGAAGCACAAGGACTTAATGCAGAACCCAGCAGCTTGGAGCAGAAAAGTGAACGGACTCTGCATTGATCCAGGCCATCAAGTCTGCCGGAGGGGAAAGGGTGTTGCCCCATTCGCCCTCTCCTCTCTGGAAAGAAAGATGGCGGCCACATGGGAGCCTTGTGGACAGCAGGTATGAGCCGGGAGTGTGGGGGCGACTAAAACCTCATGGGAAGGGGGGCGTTCTGGTCCGTCCTTCACGCCCTACCGAGGTCACCAGTTGCCCCCCACGAGCGGCTCTCCAGCACGGCCACAGCCCCAGAAGCACAAGGGCTTAATGCAGAACCCAGCAGCTTGGAGCAGAAAAGTGAACGGACTATGCATTGATCCAGGCCATCAAGTCTGCCGGAGGGGAAAGGGTGTTGCCCCATTCGCCCTCTCCTCTCTGGAAAGAAAGATGGCGGCCACATGGGAGCCTTGTGGACAGCAGGTATGAGCCGGGAGTGTGGGGGCGACTAAAACCTCATGGGAAGGGGGGCGTTTCGGTCCGCCCTTCACGCCCTACCGAGGCCACCGGTTGCCCCCACGAGCGGCTCTCCAGCACGGCCACAGCCCCAGAAGCACAACGACCTAATGCAGAACCCAGCAGCTTGGAGCAGAAAAGTGAAAGGACTATGCGTTAATCCAGGCAATCATTTCTGCCCAGAGGGGAAAGGGTGTTGCTCCCTTCCGCCCTCCTCCCTCTGGAAAGAAAGATGGCGGCCACATGGGAGCCTTGTGGACAGCAGGTATGAGCCGGGGGTGTGGGGGCGACTAAAACCTCATGGGAAGGGGGGGCGTTCTGGTCCGTCCTTCACGCCCTACCGAGGTCACCAGTTGCCCCCCACGAGCGGCTCTCCAGCATGGCCACGACCCCAGAAGCACAAGGACTTAATGCAGAACCCAGCAGCTTGGAGCAGAAAAGTGAACGGACTATGCATTGATCCAGGCCATCAAGTCTGCCGGAGGGGAAAGGGTGTTGCCCCATTCGCCCTCTCCTCTCTGGAAAGAAAGATGGCGGCCACATGGGAGCCTTGTGGACAGCAGGTATGAGCCGGGAGTGTGGGGGCGACTAAAACCTCATGGGAAGGGGGGCGTTCTGGTCCGTCCTTCACGCCCTACCGAGGTCACCAGTTGCCCCCCACGAGCGGCTCTCCAGCACGGCCACAGCCCCAGAAGCACAAGGGCTTAATGCAGAACCCAGCAGCTTGGAGCAGAAAAGTGAATGGACTATGCATTGATCCAGGCCATCAAGTCTGCCGGAGGGGAAAGGGTGTTGCCCCATTCGCCCTCTCCTCTCTGGAAAGAAAGATGGCGGCCACATGGGAGCCTTGTGGACAGCAGGTATGAGCCGGGAGTGTGGGGGCGACTAAAACCTCATGGGAAGGGGGGCGTTTCGGTCCGCCCTTCACGCCCTACCGAGGCCACCGGTTCCCCCCCGCGAGCGGCTCTCCAGCACGGCCAGGACTCCAGAACACAGAAACCAATTTCTTAACTATCTGACTTTCAGTAGAAATACTTCCAGGGTCAATAGGTAAAAGAGCAGAAATCCAAAACCAACATTTAATTCTTGAACCCAGCCGTAGAAAGCAAATCACTTCACAATGCTTTTTCAGCATGTCTGATTTGGGGGGGGGGGGGGGTAAACTCTAAATAATAGTGGTGAATCTTTTATTGAAACAATGAATCTAATCAAAGCAGATAGAGTGTTAACTAGAATTCATCTGCTTCACAGGGACGGGGAGGGGTGGGGGGTGGGGTTTTATTGGGGTTCTTCATGGTAAAAAATAAGTATTGGTAAAGGGAAATGTGTTTGATATTTGCATGACTGAGACATAAACCTGAAAGCTTTGTAACCTTTCCCACAGTGATTCAATAAATAAATTTAAAAAAAAAAAAAAAAAAAAAAAAAAAAGAGTAAACCCCAGCATCGCTCAGTGCCCCTCCCCCCCCCAAAAAAGAAATGAGGTGTCCAAGAGATACAACAGGTAAGTTCACCTGTGGGGCGGACCCAGCTCCATCTGTGGCATGGCATCAGTTGCCCCAAGCACTGCCAGAGTCATTCCTGAGCACAGAGACAGGAGTGACCCCTAAGCACTGCTGGGGGTGGGCCACAAACCAAAAAATAAATACCCCAATCCACCCATCAGACCCTCCGCCCTCTGGTCTGTTTTCCTTATTTCCTTTTGTATATTCCTTTGCTGAATTTCTTTGTCCGCTCTTAAGTCTTTGTCCACTACGTTCCTCCGGATTCATTTCCCTTCTTCAGTCATTCCTGTTCTTTCTCTGTAGAAGAGGAATCCCGAGACAGCTGCCCTCATCCCCAGCACCCCATGTGGTGCCCGAGCCCCCCCTCCAGGAGTGATCCCTGAGCATGTCCCCACCTCCTAAAAAAAGTCATTTGTTGTGTAGATGTACTACCCTTCATCAAGTCATTGGGGTGACAGCAGAAGAAATTTTGTTTCCTGTTTCTTTCCTGGGATCTATAGTAATAAACCCACTATAGACCCCCCAAGACCGGGGCCTCAGACTCCACCCCTGGAGTATGGCCTCTAGCAAATGACTCTGTCTCTCTGTCCCTCTCTCTGTCTCTATTCTGTCTGGTGTGGGGGGGCTACACCCAGGGTTGTTCAGGGGTTACTCCTGGCTCTGTGCTCAAGGATCCTACCTAGCATTGCTCCAAGGACCGTCAAGCTCCTTCCCCCGTGCACTCTCTCCTGCCTCCCTGGCATCTCTCTGTTGCTTTAAGAGGAGAAGCTCTGTGCTGGGGGCTCGTCCCAGCCATCCTTGGGACCAGGGTACCGAGGATTGAAGCAGGATTGAAGCGTTCCGGTCGACTGAGGGAGCACCACGTGACTCCTTAGCAAGGCCCGGCTCTGCTCCAGCTCGCCCGTCTTCCTAGGTCGGAGCTGAAGCCTCTCCTGGCCTCAGAGGCCCTACAGAGGTGCTGGCCCCTCCTTGTCTGTCTTTGGGCCTCTGCTGCGTGGAAATAGGAACAGCCTCTCTGGTGGTTTTCCTCGCTCCTGGTCCTTTCCTCAACATGCGTCCTGCCTGACCCAACCTGTTCCTTGCTGGGGTTTTGATTGTCTGCAGCCCCCGGCAGGGTGGGGTGTTACTTTGCTGATGAAGCCCCCCGCGACTAGGGCACAGCCACTCTGGATGGTGCTCAGGGTGGGTCAGTTTTGCAGTAGAGCCTTAGTGCCCTGGGCTTCATCCTCTACAACAAAAAGTAAAACCAACCAATATACAAAAAAAGGTTGTCCTAAAATGCTAGCTGCTTCTATGAGAACTAAGAACAGGGCCACCAGAGACATGGTACAGGGATGAAGACACACAGCCAACCCATCGCATGGTCCCCCAAGATCACTGCCTGATCCCTGAGCACAGAGGCAGGAGTAAGCCCTGAGCACTGCCAGTGTAACTCCAAACCAAACAAAAACAGGTGAAGGAAAAAACCTGGAAGAAATTGAGTCAGAGAGGGGAAAAAAAAACAAACCCACGTTATTTTTCTCCTGACCTTCAACTTTTTTGTTTGTTGGGAGGAGGGGGGATGGTGTTGGGGCCATACCCAGTGATCATCAGGGCTGACTCCTGGCTCTGCATTGAAGATCACTCTTTGAAGGGCTCGGAGGATTGT